TTCAAGACAAACAAAACTTCTTATGATTGCATCCATGCGATGTTCTTGCCTGTGTTCTATAAATGGTTTGCTCTGCCTTCTTCCTAAAGGTGCTTTTTTTCAAAAAGTAATTGGACTTTCTTGGGGTTTTTTTTCCCTTTGAAAATGTTTGGCTTTTCATCAAATGAACTGGACTGACCTGAACTGAGGAAGATTCTTGGATGAGAAGCAAAATGTTTTCAAAGGAAAAAATGAAGAAAGTACAGTTGCCTTTTTTTTATAAAAAAAAAACCCTTGGAACAACCATGACCTGAATGTTTGAGAATCTCCATAGACATTCTGCTATGATGTCTTTTTCAACTTCCCTGTCTAGCCTACAGCCTTGAAATTATGTCTCTCCCCGTACCCTATCTAAGCATCAGCCAGGAGAATCTTGCTTAGCATTTGAATCACAGGGGTCAGTTTGGTATTGCTATCTGCTAAGCTGAATTTCCAACATTACGTGTGTTTCGGTTAATAACTTTGGTCCTGACAGCAAAGTAAAAACTAAATGGAGAGAAGGACCTCAGTCCTTCTCCTGTTCACCGGTGCACTAGCATTAAATGGTATTCTGTATTAAACCAGGAAGCTTCTAGTGAACCATTTAGAATAGAGAGACTCATACTACGGGTCTGCTTAAATTTAGCTCTTTCTGCTCCTGAAGAATGAATTGATAAAGTTGTGTTGTATTGCAGGTTTCTTGAAGATAACCATTTATGGTAGAAAAAATACTCCTTTCTGTGTCATGTGGTTAAATGTCTCAGCAGAAAGTGTGACTCAGTTCCTGAAATGGTTTTCAGATGTTTCATAATTGTAGCGTTCGTGCTGCAGTTGGTGTCGGTTTACATAGACACTTATAACATTGCTAGATTCGTTTTGAGGGTCACCTAAGAAGAGCCAAAAGAAAGTCCAGGAGATAAGGCCCATGTCAACCCCTGTACCTACTATGAAAACCTGGTGCCTGTTTTGTCTGAGAAAGTCAGTTTGAGATTGATTTGTTTCTGAGAAAAAAAAATGGTTCTCTTCCACTTCAGGATATGATTGGCTTTAGTGCTTAATCCACAAACACTGGAAAAATCTCTGCCCCTCCCTTTTGCCTTTTTTTTTCAAATGAAAACTTTATGGTAAATAATGTACTTACGGTATACATATAAAATTCATTGTTCAAAAACTCATTGACCAGCAAATAACTTCAGGATAGCAAACATCCTGGGTGTATTTAACTAAAACACTATAGAATTCTTTGGAGGTGATTTATGGGGTGATAACCTAAAATTGCAGTTCTGTTAACTTGAAAGGAAAAGCCTAATTTCATATTCTCAAGACTTGAGTATGAGAAATACTAAAATTTGAAGGATATATTATATTCATTTCCTCCTTGGAGAAAATGAAGAAAGAGACATTATGCACTATGCAAATTGTATCACAAATAATTTATTGGTAGATTTGGTTGTATAGAGCTCACCTATTTATTTCTCACCTTCTTGGCTTCTCATTTTTTGGAAATGAAAGGAGACATGCCCTCACTAGCAGCAATAAATTGTGACATTTATATGTCATATCTTGAGATCAGCAATATCGAAATGAATCTTGAGAATAGAGTAACAGTGGTGACAGGATGTTTTTTCCCATTGTGCCTTAGATCTATCTCCATTCTTTAATTGAATTTTAATTTGAGATGATTAGAACTAATAATTGGGGCATCCCAAAAAATGATTTGTCCTAGAATTGACTAGAAAAGATTTAGAGATTTTAAGGACAAGAAATTCTGAAGAGACCAAATAAATAGACATGTTAAGGCTCATAATAATTTTTTTCTGTCTCCTAGTTATTAAAGAGAGTGTATGGAAACTACTTGGTAACTCCAGAGTCGGGTAAGCCTAAGCATAATTTGTGCCTTAATTCTTATTCAACCTGTTGTTAAATTGTAATTATTATCTGCATTTCAAACAGAGAAATTGTTCTCCATGTTTTCAATCCAGCTCACAGTTGGGCTCTTCTTGTTGCAGTGCTATTTTAAAAAAATACCCGCCTCCCTTCAGCATTCTTCATGGAGATCTGAGAACATCAGAGCTCTATTTCTCTGCCGCATAAGCTTCTGGATCCACCCCCAAGCAAGGCCCCGCTTATCTAGTTAGGGATTCTTTGTACTGTGTAAAGAGAGTGACAGGCATTCAGAAGCTCTGGAAAACCATGGTTACCTTCAACAGTACTGCTTCCCACTCATTTGTCCCAAAATGCAGGGATAAGAATTGCTTTCTCTCACAGTTGGTGAAAGGAGGAGAAACAGTTGCCTGATTGAAGGAGAAAAGCATGTTTAATGTTGCCAATACTTTATTTGAATATCTTCCTGTTGGGGAATTGGAAGGAAAGAACCTGTGTATGACTGGCCAGTATTGCTTTCTCCAAAAAGAATTAAGATTGAAAAGGAAATCTGCAAATATTCTTATTATTTACCTGTTCTAGGTTACAATGTCTCTTTGTTGTACGATTTGGAAAACCTCCCGGCTACCAAAGACTCCATTGTCCACCAAGCAGGCATGCTGAAACGCAACTGTTTTGCTTCAGTGTTTGAGAAATATTTCAAGTTCCAAGAGGAAGGCAAAGATGGAGAGAAAAGAGCAGTCATCCACTACCGAGATGATGAGACAATGTAAGAAGTGCTGTCTTTTTCTTGCCTCGCGACTTAGTCAGTTTCCAGACCCTCAGATTTTAAGTTGTTCAAAACATTCCATCTTCATTTATCCATTATCACTTGGCATCCAAAAGCTCTTTTAGATAGGAAATGGCAAATCTTTTAATAGATAAATGTAGACAGCCGGTTAAAGCTAAAGCCTGTCTGAAACATGCAGTACAAATCAACATACACGGATTTCCCAAATACATCATCATATGTAGGGTACTATACACTAACGCCAATTGGATTAAAATCATGAAACACTGTCCCCCCTATACTTGAGTAGAAATGGTAGCCTGTGGTCCCTGAATCCAATTTTATTCCTCTACGTCTCTTCCAACCCTGATTGCTAAAAACTGAAATTTTCTTGCTGTTGAATCAGAGAATCCCTGTAGATCTTAAAATAAGCATACAGTAGCATATTAAAAACAAAATAGTCTTGCCCACTTTCTTTCCTCAGCCTTACCTCCAACTGCTACTGAGGATGCTGAGGAACTCAAGTCCAGTGAGCTCAGTTTTGAAATATTACTGGTTGCCTAGAATTTTAAAAAAAAGCCCTAACCCTGTAATTTTTGCTTTCATATGAAGGAAAAATGTACACATGGATTGTAGCAGGTGATCTCATGCAGCTGGAGGGGGAAGTAGCATAATCAGAGTCTCAGCAGCCAACATGAAAAAGGAAGAAGTGGGAGGAAGAGTGTATTGAAGAAAACTATGAAGAACAATGAGATGCTTTAGGAGGAAAGGTGAAGAAGTGGGTGGAGGGGCAGTTCTTGAGAGGATCTTGAATGGCAAGTGTATGTATTGAGAATGAGAGAAGGAAAGAGTTGGGAGTAGGATCTTTCTCTGTTTAGCAATTAGCTTTTCACTGAAGTTGGTTTTTTACTGGCCATGTTAACAAGGACAACCATATTGTGTAAAAACTTTTGTAGTGGTGGTGCTACCACTTTCTCAACATTCCAGAAATGCATATGCCAAACTCCAAAAGGATTAAGGACTGCAAAGAGGTACTGTACTAGTTCTCAGGCTGTTGTGTATACTCACATTGGAGTTGAGGTATGTGTTTACAAACGTTTCTGTTTGTAAACTAAGCTCTTAGTATTGAAGTAACTTTCTTAAGGTGTTGGCTTTTTTGATCCCTCCCTCTAGGTACGTGGAATCAAAGAAGGATCGTGTCACAGTGGTTTTCAGCACGGTATTTAAGGATGACGATGACGTTGTGATTGGAAAGGTGTTTATGCAGGTAGGACCATTTCTGTTTTGTAGAGATTTAGTGGATTGTGATTGACGTTCCTATTCTTAGAAGTTTGCTATTGCCCTTAAAGTGAAGTTCTTCTCCACTAAAACTAACTGCTAATACTGGTGCCTCTTGAAATTTACTTATTTTTTATACAAATAAAAGAATACTTACCATCTGTCTTGCTATCTGCATGAAGACTGAAGAAAAGAGGGAGTTTGAATAGAAGAGCAAATGCTCACTTGAGACATTATCTGTTTGCTCTGAACAGCTGGCTGGCTGGCAACATTTCCTGCAGGATGCAGAGTGGAAGATGAAAAAGAGAATTTCAATTGCTCTGTTGAGGCACAATTGTGTTTTGTACTATCCCAGTATCAGATACTGGAGACTCTTTTATTGGATTTCCTGAATTGTTTCCATTTCTGTGGTTTGAATTACATATTTATGAAATTTATTTATAACATTTATCTGATCACCTGAAACCTTTTGGATGTAAGCCTTTTATAGTACTTACGTAATAAAAGCAAAAGTCAAGATAACAAAAGCAAAAATCAAGAAAAAATTACTTAGAAGAGTAGTTAGAGAAGCTAAAATGACAGAAAAGGTGAACAGTGGGTATGATTAATATACAAAGGTTCTTCAGAAAAGCCATGTTTTTACCTTCTCAAAAACCATAAAGGTTGGGGCCTCACCCACAGCTCAGCAGGTAAACTGTTCCACGGGAGGGGGCTCTCCCATTTTACTAGAACAGCCAAATACTATTTCATCATGTTTATGTTTAGCCCTGGAACATAATCATAAAAATACAAATGCGGAATATGTTAGAATCCCTTCATAATTTGGATTAAGAAAGATGTCCAGCTTGTAATTCCAAATTAATTTGATTCTCAGCACCTGCTTATCTTTCTAGAAATTATGCGTTTACAAAAAAGTGAATTCTGCATTGCTTGAGCAAGGGAAGTAGGAAGCAGCATTAGTGGAAAGTGAAAGAAATACAATATAGAAAGAAGAACATTGAAGATTTTTTTTTCCAGTGTAAGAACTTTAATGTAAGGAATAAATTTAAATAACGAAAAGAAAAAATAGGAACGTCAATCACAATCCACTAAAT